ATATATAAATGTAATGATGTGTTGATGTTATAGAGTTGCATTCGTGTATTGAGTTCAGCATTAGCTATAGTGCTTACTTCAGGCAAAAACAGAATTGTCACTTTTGTTAAAGTGGTAGGAAACTTGTTTAAAAAAACGTTTCCTGCTGCAAGGTAATATAATAATGTACTAGCACATTATGAAAGACTTACCTTAGCACAAAGCTCTCCAGTGGCGCCCTGTCACCTGGCCTTCCTTTCGGGTTCATGGGCTACGGTGGCTTGAATGGCCAAGCCGCTGATAATGCCACTCCTGTGCATGCACACGAGAGTCTCGGCCATGGCACACAGCTTTGAAGGAACAGCACAGGTATGCCATTCCTTCAGAGTGCATGCGCCGATGATGGCGGGCAGCACAGTGGCTAAATGGTTAGCACTTCTGCCTGGCAGTACTAGGGTCATTCGAATCCCAGCCATGGCACCACCTGCCTGGAGTTTGCATGTTCTCCCTGTGCCTGCGTGCGTTTTCTCCGGGTACTCCGGTTTCTTCCCACACTCCAAAGACATGCTGGTAGGTTAATTGGATCCTGTCAAAATTGGCCCTAGTATGTGTATGTATGAATGTAAGTTAGGTTAGATTGCACACCCCTTGAGGGTTAGGGACTGATGTGAATGTACAATATATAAATGTAAAGTGCTGCATACATTGACAGCACTATATAAGTACCTCTAACAAATAAATAAATAATGTCGCTGGCTGCTGCTCCATTGATTAACTCCTAAACAGTGACCGTTTAAGAGATATCCATTTTATATCTACAGGTAAGTTTTATTATAAGTTTACCTGTAAGTAAAAAAATGAAAATAGTGACTTTACTACCACATTAAGTTACATATTTGTGACTTATAAATCTATTATGCTATACATTTGTATTGATGCAATTACATAAAAAATAGCAAATATGTTTTGCCCCATTTGCCCAAGACTATAGCTCAAAGTTTTCTAATTTTTGTTGCAACCTATTTTCCAATAATTTCTGGTTCAGAGCCAGTCAATTATGACATAATAAGGATTAGGATTGGCCATACATGGGAGGTAAAATTCAAATGTATGCAGATGTACTTGGTAATATGTTTGTTTTGTTATTTATAACAATAAAATAAATGGAATTTCCATACAGTTGCAGCTGCTTTATTTCATGCAAAAATTCCAGCGTCAGCATACATCTATTTGTTTTATAAGGATGAATATGCAAATGTGGCGTGATGTGTTCACAAGTCTGACGAACACTTCTGAAAATAAAACATCTTCTAACAAGTACATGTCATTTAACATTCTTCTCATTGCATCTGGCAGCAGTATAAAAGTCTAGAAGGGTGAACTAAATATACCTTCTCTAACAGAAACAGTAGGGTAACCATCGGTCACAGTGAAGTCCTCAACAATAAAATGCAAAGCGTGTAAGATATGGTATCAATTAATTCCCACTTATAATTTATCTTGGGAATTATTCCAGCCTACAAAACTATAATATGTATAATTGCTCTTACACAATAATAAAGAATTCAACAAGTCATAAAAAATGTCCACAAAACCTCAATTTATCTTAGGCTTTTATAGTGCCAACAATTTACTCAGCGCGTTACATATTATTGTTCACATCAGTCCTTGTTCTCAAAGAGCTTTCCACTTCTCACATGCAAACACACATTGGGGCCAATTTACCTACCAGAATGTCTTTGAAGTGTGGGAGGAAACCCATAGAAGCATAGGGAGAACATGCAAACTCTGTGCAGATAGTGTCCTGGCCAGCATTTGACCTGAGGACTCTAGTACTAAAAGACAGAAGTGCTAGATTCAAGGTCACTGAGCTCTCCCAAAAACACTGGAGGAAATTCATAAAGTGTCATAGTCACCCTTTAGAATTTCATTGGGTGAAAATGTTGTTTGCACCAGATTCATGTACCTGTAAAATGGGGGGGGGGGGGGGGGCATCACTAGCACTCCATTATAAACATAGACACTCATAGTGCAATGTCACATCAGCTAAATAGGGCAAAATTACAGGGCTGGGTCCCTTTCTCAAGGCAACATAGTGACAGCTTGCACTGCAAAGAAACATATACTGTATATTATTATACAGTATTTTTATAGCGCCAAAGGGTTTGCTCAGCACTGTAGAATAGCGAGGGGGACAGAACATGAGACAATACAGTAACAATAAAAAACACGAGGGGTTTGAGGGCCCTGCTGTTTCGAGCTTACAATCTAGGAGGGAGGGGATATGTTATATATATGTGAACATGCAGAACCAAAAACTCACCCAGTTATGTCATTGTGACATAATCCTGCCTAAACAAAAACCCACTACAATGCTACACAGAAAAATAAAGTTTATGCAGAGAAATATTCCTTATAAACATCCAAACAATTGTGAAGGGTACATCAAAAGCTGGAAATTCCAATTTGGGTAAAGAGTTTGGCATTGGCATCATTGTTACCTAGCAACCCCATGCAGCCTAGTGCCAGCCCATCAGTGGGAACAGTACAGGAAATCCCCCCAACAAGTTGCCTAATTAGTGCACATATGTGCATGCATGAAAAAAGATCACAAAACTGTTTATAACATCTGCCAAAAAATCAGTAACAACTGCCACTGTCCAAAAACTCCTGTATGGGTACCTTCTGCACTTATGACATACAATTAGTGGTAATCAAAAGGAGGAAAAAGGACCAAAAGGAAAAAAAAGCAAAAGAAACGTATATACACCAGTGGTATGGGTATCATAAACAAAATAAAATGTGCAATTGTTTTGGAACACTTATTGTGTATCCATCACTTCCCTTTGGATCCATTATGTATAAAGACATTTGTACTGACACCTGTTTATTATTGTATTACTAAAGTGGTACAATTCAGTTTACCTGTGTGTTTAGGTTAGTTGTTTTAATCCATAGATAGACCACCCCCTTCCTTTCTTCTTCATGTTTACTCAGTTTTTCAGTCTTTATAGTGGACCCAAGAAGTAGAGGATCATTGCCTCTTTGCAGTTTGCACTTTGATTTGACCGGTGAACATTCATGTTCTGCACTACTACCTTGGATCACACTGCTGTCTTATTGAAGAGTTGAGCTGTCTGTAGGAGGTCCTTATTCAAAAGCTGACAATACTGGCCAGATAGACTGAGGTCTAAAGGAGGTATGTCAGTGCATAAAGAAATATCCAGTGTAGTAGGGCGCATTTTAATATGGCTGTGTGCATTCAGCCTAATGAGCCAACAGGTTAAAGCAGGCATGTCCAAAGTCCGGCCCGCGGGCCATTTATGGCCCGGGGGTCGGTTTAATACGGCCCTCCAACAGCCCTCCCTGCTCTGTGTAATGTGGCCCTCCCACGGCCCTCCCTTCTATGGCAGACAGTCTTCTGCTTGAGAGCAGAGGGCAGTGCACATGCCTGACTGCGGCGCGTTCTCCTTGGTCTGTGTAAATGCGGCTGTCACACGGCCCTCCCTTCTGTGGCAGACAGTCTTCTGCTTGAGAGCAGTGTGCATGCGTGACTGCGCCGCGCTGGGAGCGACAGAGGGCGGTGACGTCAGGGCCGGGCTTCCAGCGTGAAGTGTGTTTCTCTTCCCCTCCCGGCTGCCGAGCAGAGACTTCAGCTCCAGCTACCTTTTTCACCCTTCACATTAGTGCAGGTAAGTTTTTTTAAAATTTATTTTCAATACATTGTGAAAACTCAGCTGTCAGTTGATCTTAATGTTATGAAATGAAAAGTATGTCGTTTGCAATTAACTTGGCATAAAATAATTTATTTGCATTTAATAGTAATGGTTCAAAGAATGTTCGGAAAAATGTTCGGCCCTCCACCATGTTCACTTCATCCAATCTGGCCCTCTTTGAAAAAAGTTTGGACACCCCTGGGTTAAAGCAACCAAATGAGACAAATTAGCACCCTGTAAAAGAAGAGACATAGGGGTCAATTTACTAAAGATTACTGAATGTGATAACATGGTCACATGACTCATTTTCATAAATTATTGTGTGTGGTAAAAAATGTCCAATTCACAGAACAAAAAATGATTATGCGGTATTTAACACACAATACAAAATGTCTCAGTAAATATTGCAAAAAACATGCCGTAAGCTGTTAAATCTAATTCACAAACAGAACAGAAAGTAAAAAAAGATCTGATATTTATCAGCAGGGTTTTGCAGGAGGTATCATATGCAGTATTTTTTCAGATGCAGTGAGGGGGCCCCCCCAAATCCATACCAGGCTCTAGGGGTCTGGTATGGATTATAAGGGGAACCCCACGCCAAAATTTAAAAGGCATGCCAGAACCTTAGGTCTGGTAAGGATTTTGGGGGGACCCCAATACCATTTTTTTTTTAAATGTTGGTGTAGGGTTCCCCTAAATCCATGCCAGACTTAAGGGCCATTTTTTTAAATAATTTTGGTGTGGGGTTTTCCCTAAAATCCCTTTGGGTCTGGTATGGATGGGGGAGGGGGAGACCCCCATGCTGTTTCTTTTTCATAATTTTTAACCACTAGCTTACAGGGCACTTATACCCCCTTCCTGCCCAGGCCAATTTCCAGCTTTCAGCGCTGTTGCACTTTGAATGACAATTGCGCGGTCATGGAACACTATACCAATATGAAAATGTTATAATTTTTTTGTGACAGATAGAGCTTTATTTTGGTGTTATTTAATCACCACTGGGTTTTTTATTTTTTCTTAAACAAACCAAAAACCACTGAAAATTTTGAAAAAAAAAAAGTTTTTTCTTAGTTTTTGTTATAAAATTTTGTAAATAAGTGATTTTTTCTCCTTCACTGATGTGCGCTAATGAGGCTGCAGTGATGGGCACTGATAGGCTGCACTAATGGACACTGATAGGTGGCATTGATGAGGAGGCACTGGTAGGTGGCACTGATGGGCATTGACAGGCATCACTGATGGGCACTGAAAGGCAGCACTCATATATGGCACTGATAGGTGGCACTGATAGGTGGCACTGTTAGGCACTGTTAGCCAGCACTGATAGGCAGCACTGATGGGCACTGATAGGCGGCACGGATGCACACTGATAGGCGGCACTGACTGGCACTGATAGGCTCTGATAGGTGGCACTGATTGGCAGCATGATAGGTGGCACTGACTGGCATTGATAGGTGGCACTGACTGGCACTGATGGGTGACACTGAAAGGCAGCTCAGATGGGCACTGATATGTGGCATTGATGTGGCATTGATGTGGCACTGAAATGTGGCACTGATGTGGCACTGATGGGCACTGGCAGGTAGCATGGATGAGCACTAAGAGCTGGCACTGATGGACACTGACAGGTGGCGCTGCTGGGGCTACACAGATCATCAGGGTACACTGATCATCAGTGCTCTGATGATCAGTGTACATGTCCCCTCCGAGGAATGCCGATTACTGGCTCTCCTCTCCTCATGAGTTGTCAGCGTGACAACTCGTGGGGAGAGAAATGCCGATAACCGGCATTTCCCTGTTTACATGTGATCAGCTGTGATTGGACACAGCTGATCACATGACCGAGCCGTCATCTTCGGCTCTTTCCATGGATCGGTGATCTGCTGTGTCCGAGGGACACAGCTCACCGCCGATCGCCACGCTGCGCGCTCCCGGAGCCACGCATGCGCTGTGAGAATGGGAGGACGTCATATGACGTCCTCCCAGAACGAGAGAACCACCTTGTGTCCGTCATTTTACTATATGGCGGGCGGGAGGTGGTTAATTGCTGGCATGTTTTCTTTACATTCCGCTGATGAGTGTTGTTATGTTGTTATGGACAGTTGCTGGCTTCCTTAATGACCAGCTAGTGTGCAATAAATTGTCGCTTGAAAATATGCGTTAATTACCGCAATACCGATATTTTACCCCACAAGATATTTACAGCAATTCTTAGTGAATTGCATATTTGCTAAAGAATTACCACATGCGTTATTTTACCACATTTTTTCAAGCATTATTTATCGAATTGACCCCTTTATATGCATGTTCAGGGCTGTCCTAATTCATTTTATTTATAGCATTTTTTTATATGGTTAAAATCAATTTTATTGAAAGCACTAACAAATCTATGTGTTTAATTATTTATTTATTTATTTCAGGTACTTATATAGCGCCGTCAGCTATTTATACTTTAATTCTTAAAATAACTTTAACTGAGAGTAGGTGTGTAAATTGGGGCAGGCTGGTAGGGGCCCCAGTGCATTGCTTTGCCCAGGGGCCCATTAAGCTATTAAGATGGCCCTGGCTGCAGTGCTACACCCCCCAGGAAAATCTTCACATCCAACACACTTCTGATTGTGTTAGATGCCCGTATCCCCCACCTTCCACTGTGGTTCCCACCACTGGTCCATAGATCACTACTGTTTTGTGTACAGGGAATGGGGAAGGGGTAACCCCAGTGTTCAGTGGGGGATGCAGGCATCTGAAACTTCTAGTGTGTTGGAAGTGGAGATTCTGTGGGCAATGTAGCTGAGCAGCAGAGCAAACACTTTACAAACAGGCACCAGACCTAGAAAGTCTCTTTAACATTGTGTGTGTGTGAGACCTTATTAGCCATCACTTTCTGCAGCAAAAGTAAAGGTGAAGTAAACAAAACGTGCCTAATCCACCCTGCTTGCATATACCATATTGCAGAAGGTCAGTGTTCTAATTTTGTCATACATAACTTTCATTGAACTATTATTAACATTTACACAATTGATGTTATATTTAGAACATTGTATTCAGTTTTATTACCTTTCACATGATTACACATCAGTATTGTTTTTTTACTTTAACCTATTAAGTACATTTCATTCACTTGGTATATTTTATATGTTACATTTGTTTTTATCCTATTATTCAGTCTCCCAATTTCAGTTATGCCCTGTACACATGATAAGAAAATCATACAAAACTTTTCATATGAGGACCGATCATCCGATAATCGGATCATTAGCAGGGGCGGACTGACCATTCGAGTACTCGGGCACTGTCCGAGGGCCCGGGGTCAGTAAGGAGGCACCTTGAAATGCTCCTAGTGCCTTTTTTATAGGCTTTTTTGGGTGTGCTTTGATTTGAGCAAGGACACAGGGGCCCCATGATCCCCTATTGCCCAGGGGCCCCATGAGTTGTCAGTCCACCCCTGATAATTAGTACACAGCTTTTGAGAGCCACGACAATTGAAGCGACAATATCCAAAGGGACAAACGCAAAAAATTTCTTGTACGATTCTCGTTTAATCAGTACAGTAGTCCGAAAATACAATACAAATACAATAATATTATTATTATTATTACAATACAACACTTTCAAAATTCTTTTCTTTTGTATGAGAATGTTTGTGTCCTTAGTAACCTTTTCACTTTTGATATGAGACTAGCAGGCGGAAAAAAAACGGACGATCATTCATCTGATATTCTCATCGTGTGTACGGGGCTTTAGAGTTCATAAACTTTCCTTGAAAGTAGCAAGTATTGGTGATATGATTAAATGCCCAAACCGATTAGTAGTACGTTTCACCAGGCAGGTCACTAAACACAGGTACTGCATGGGGAGAGAGAGCAATGGGCACAGAAAGTGGAATTTGTTATTAGTTGGTAAAAACATTTGAATTTTTTATAACAGATTGTTGAATGCCTAAGATCATATCAGTGAGTCAGTTCTCTAGACCAGGAGTCTCCAAAATTTCTAAACAAAGGGAAAGTTTACCTCCAGGCATTAGGGGCTTGGACTGTGGCCAGTGGTAGTAGAAAATAACTCCAGAATCAGTGTAAACGATGCCTCAGAATTAGCGGTCACTGTGAGTAAAACAATTACATAGCACCAGTAAAAGGAGGAACACATCATTGATATCAGTGGGGAAATGGCACCTCATCATTGGTGTCAGTGGAAGCAACAGTGCCTCATCATTTGTGTCAGTGGAAGGAATGGTGCATCATGATTGGTGTCAGTGGAAGGAATGGTGCCTCATCACTCATGTCAGTGGAAGGAATGGTGCCTCATCACTTGTGTCAGTGGAAGGAATGGTGCCTCACCATTGATGTCAGTGGAAGGAATGGTTCCTCATCACTGGTGTCAGTGGAAGGAATGGTGCCTCATCACTTGTGTCAGTGGAAGGAATGGTGCCTCACCATTGGTGTCAGTGGAAGGAATGGTTCCTCATCACTGGTGTCAGTGGAAGGAATGGTGCCTCACCATTGATGTCAGTGGAAGGAATGGTGCCTCATCACTTGTGTCAGTGGAAGGAATGGTGCCTCACCATTGGTGTCAGTGGAAGGAATGGTTCCTCATCACTGGTGTCAGTGGAAGGAATGGTGCCTCATCACTTGTGTCAGTGGAAGGAATGGTGCCTCACCATTGGTGTCAGTGGAAGAAAAGGTTCCTCATCACTGGTGTCAGTGGAAGGAATGGTGCCTCACCATTGGTGTCAGTGGAAATAATGGTTCCTCATCATTGGCGTCAGTGGAAGGAATGGTGCCTCACCATTGGTGTCAGTGGAAGGAATGGTTCCTCATCATTGGCATCAGTGGAAGTAATGGCGCCTCATCCCTGGTGTCAGTGGATGGACTAGTGCCTTGTATGAGTTGAAAGGAATAGTGTCTCAAGGGCCAGATAAAGGCAAGTAAGTGCTGGTTCACATATATGCGGATTCAATGCAGTTTGAACCACATCCAATCCACATGAGATGTGAAATAACATTGCCTCCTATGGTGCCTGTTCACATACGGTATGTCCGATGCACTGGCAGTGCAGATTCAGTGCGGATTTAAAAAGAGTCCTGTACGATTTCTGAGCAGTGCAGTCTGGTTCAGGTGTGGATTACAGGCTTACTTCTATGGGAACTGTTTCTAAACTGCACATGTCATCTGACCTGACCTGAACATAATCCAAACCTGTCCTGAACCTGATGTAAACCTGACTTGAACCGCTGAACAACTACTGTGTCAATTAGCTGTAAAACCTGACCTTCAATCTGCACCGCACATGTGTGAATCAGCATTACAGGGCTGCATTCGGTCTGCAGACCGCAGTTTGGAGGCCACTGCCGTAGATCAACAATATGCAATATTTGTGTGTTGAGCACTGGTTCATTCACATTCATATGGATGCTATGTGAATTCATTGATACATACAAAACTATTTATAGAATAAACCAGTACAAATAGGAAATCTTATGCTCCAAGTGTAGAAGCCAAAGCAACCAACTATGCTGCAATTCTCAGCAGTCACATCTCTGTGAACTGTGTTCAGTCCTGGGCTTTACATTTGTCTTTATGTGCTGGACAGAAAATATGTAATGTTTGGCGATACTGTCACCTTGTGGATATAAATATTATTACATTACAACCCTCCAGAAATTTGGAGACAGCACAATCCTAATTTATTATTACAGGAAACTTATATAGCGCCGACAATTTACATATATATATATATATATATATATATAGTACATTCACATCAGTCCCTGCCCTCAAGGAGCGTACAATCCAAAGTCCTTAATTCACATTCATACATATCAATGATAGGGGCAATTTAGACAGGAGCCAATTAACCTGCCAGCATGTCTTTTTGGAATTTATAAGATAAGGCAATATAATTGGCAATTTAAAACTTTCATGCTGGAAGGAAAACACATCTTAATGCCTGAGCACAGCTTTGCAACTTTGACACGTGTTAGTAAAACTGTACATACCAGTACAACTACTCATTGCATCCAGATAAATTATACCTTGTTTTTTTTCAGGCCAAATTGGGTTTTCATTTGATAGTAAATGGTAATGGATATCTCCTAATCTATATACTATCAAAGGAAAAACTGGCACAAATAATAATTAAAACATTTTTTTTAATTTAGCTGCATATTTCTTGCTATTGTCATGACCTATCACCATAATACAACCCAAAATAAATTCTCCTTCTCCTGACAATCACAGCAACACCACATATGTGTATGCTATTTAATGTTTGTAACCATAGTAGGGCCCAATAATGCACATTTGCCTTTTTTATACTACCTAAAAGACACTGACATTAGTATTAAATAAAAATGTGTTTGTTTTAAATCCTACTTAAAATGCACGGACCCTGACCTCTGTCTCTGGCATATATATTGTGACAGGGCTTCACTGGGTCATGAGTTAAAATGGCAATCAGTGTGCAGTTTTCGATTGTAAAGAGCATTTGGTGTCACCAAGGATTTTCTCCCATGCAGGGGTGAGTGGCTCCAGGGTGTTTGTTTTGAGAGGAGAAAACTGGATTGGCAATTTTCCCCAGTTTTGGTAATGCCTGGTCAGAATCTTGGAGCTCAGAAGCTTGCGGAGAACTGGGTGGGATGAATTTTTCAACTTCAGGTCCATGCTTTGGTGGTGACAAGCACAGGCTCATTGTGTAGCTCTCACAGCCCTTATGGTATGGGTGCTGACTAGTATTCAGAGCTCCACCTTCCTGAGGAGTGCACATAAGCACCAGAGGTGTGCATGTGTGCTCGGTGCCTGAGAAGTCTGTGGAGAAACAGACAAAACCCCTAACCTTGATAGCCAGAGCAGTAGTGCTGTTAGTATAAGCCAGGTGAAAAGTCACCTGGTACCATGCTTGCAATGTGGCCAATGGAGGCACGTTATCATGTCTTGCCCTAGGTTTTTGGGTTAGCTGATGCTTCTGGGCATATGCATTTAGCTGCAGGGCCAGTTTATTGTACAAAAGTGTCTGTTGTCACCCCTGGAAACAATAGACAAATTCTTGTTATGCCTTTAGGAGGCACTAAAGCTCGGGGATAGTCAGATCCTTTCTTGAACCCACCTGGCTGAGACTACCAGGAAGCTGTCACCTGTAATGGACCAATCATCTGAGACAGAGGCATTCCCCCGTACATGTATACACTGCTCAATAAAATTAAAGGAACACTTTGAAAACATATCAGATCTCAATGGGGAAAAATATAATGCTGGATATCTATACTGATATGGACTGGGTAATGTGTTAGGAATGTAAGGATGCCCCATTGTTTGATGGAAATGAAAATTATTAACCTACAGAGGACTGAATTAATTGACACCCCGAAAATCAAAGTGAAAAAATTATGCAGCAGGCTAGGAAATTTTGCTGAAATTTCATTGCAGCAACTCAAAATGGTACTCAGTAGTTTGTATGGCATCCATGTGCTTGTATGCATGCCTGACAACGTTGGGGCATGCTCCTAATGAGATGACGGATGGTGTCCTGGGGTATTTTCTTCCAGATCTGGACCAGGGCATCACTTTGGTCCTAGACAGTCTGAGGTGCAACCTGGGGGCGTCAGACTGATCAAAACATGGATATCCCAGAGGTGTTCTATTAGATTTAGATCAGGCGAGCATGGGGGCCATTTAATGGTATCAATTCCTTCATCCTCCAGGAACTGCCTGCATATTCTCGCCACATGAGGCCAGGCATTGTCGTGCACCAGGAGGAACCCAGGACCCACTGCATCAGTGTAGGGTCTGACAATGGGTCCAAGGATTTCATCCCGATACCTAATGACAGTCAGGGTGCCATTGTCTATCCTGTAGAGGTCTGTGTGTCCCTCCATGGATATGCCTCCCCAGACCATCACTGACCCACCACCAAGATGGTCATGCTGAACAATGTTACAGGCAGCATAATGTTCTCCACGGCTTCTCCAGACCCTTTCACATCTGTCACATGTGCTCAGGGTGAACCTGCTCTCATCTATGAAAAGCACAAGGCGCCTGTGACGGACCTGCCAATTCTGGTGTTCAATGGCAAATGCCAAATCGAGCTCTCTGGTGCCAGGCAGTGAGCACAGGGCCCACTAGAGGACATCGTGCCCTCAGGCCACCCTCATGAAGTCTGCTTCTGATTGTTTGGTCAGAGAAATTCACACCAGTGGCCTGCTGGAAGTCATTTTGTAGACTTCTACAACTCTGTCCAGCTCTCCTAGAGTAACTGACTGTCTCCTGGAATCTCCTCCATGCTCTAGGAGACACAGCAAACCTTCTGGCAATGGTACATATTGATGTCCCATCCTGGAGAAGTTGGACTGCCTGTGCAACCCCTGTAGGGTCCAGGTATTGCCTTATGCTACCAGTAATGACACTGACCCTAGCCAAATGCAAAACTAGTGAAAAACAGTCAGAAAAGATGAGTAGGGAAAAATGTCAGTGGCCTCCACATGTAAAATCATTCCT